CGAGAATATGTTGCGTGAGACGATAGAGTATTGTAAGTTGAATGTCGTTAAGCTTTTAATTTGTACGTTAACTATTGTAATAATATTATCAAAAAGGATCACACGTGATATTTTTATTTGATAAACAACCCAAAAAATTTAATTTATAGAAATAATCACGTGTCCGTAAATTTTTGTGATTGCTCCGCTCATATAGTAATTGACATATCACCAATTCAATCGTCACTCTCGATGATACTGTGGGCGAGCCAACACATGGAGAGGTAATAGTGATTGATCTGTATGAAGAGAGCATTTGAAGATGTTACAGGAGCGGACGAGACTAGATCCGTTGTGCGTTTCTCATGTAACGTTATATTTTACCGTCGGATCAACCAATATTAATTATCTATGTTTTATCCCCTCTAATTTGTGCAATTATTCTCCTTGTTCGACCTTGATAACACGTGGACAGTCAGATGAAATTGAGATTTGAACTTCGTTAATGTCGAATAACGGGTACGAAATCGATGAAAGATTCTTAAAATTTTACATTCATTAATGATTGTTATAGTGGAACTGTGTGATTCCACATTTTTGTCGTCTAATAACATAACCTGTTTTCTTAATACATTTAACGTATATTAGCGTGAAATATTGAAATCGAAGACGTCTGTTTCTGCTGTCAGCGATGTAAATGTACTTATTTACGTTGGATCAACCATGCAATTATACGAGAAACAGGTATTCCTAAGTCGATTGTCTAATCTCTATTCGAGTATTAGGAGGAACGCTTCTTTACAAATTGGACTAGTGCTGTTCGCTGGTCCGTACACAAGACTAAGAGTTGATGACGACCGTATCGACATTTCAATCCAAAAGACTTTTAAGAGACATATACAATGGCGTCTGATCCTTAGGATTTCAAGTAAGTAACCCGATGCTGAAGACAATCCACATAATCGTTAACATTGTTGCTACTTGAATTCGCGGATGTTATAGCTTGTGTAACTGGTTACTAGATCATTATTCAATTCCATTAATATTCCTTACACTTGGCTTTATTTGGCCCACCAAAGTTTAACTATCACACGTTCCGATCCTTTCTCCCATGACCACTTACCACACAAACACAAATTCACTTGGCTGCAGATGACTGTAGATCTACGAATTGTGAAAGCATGCGGAGCAACAGTCGGCTGAATCTCTTGCGAATAAGAAGAAAATTGCCAATTTGTAATATTAATATTACTTGTCGCAAAAAAGGTTATTTTGCTGCTGCTTCTTCGAAATATCAAAGTTTGGTGGGCGGTATTGGAATAATGAACACCCGACAAGCATACAATCACGGTTGATGGCATTCGGCATCCTCCATCAGAAAGTCTGATGAATAGTTTAGTGAGTACTTTAAGCTTATCCGATAGATTGGTCGGTGGAGATGTGGTAAATGAATACGAGCTTCTTTAAGGGATAAACATATTAGAAAGTAACGGAAAATTTATTTTGACCATCCAAAACAGTTCTTGAAGACGGGACTTTCATTGGATTTGCTGAAGGGATATTCATCCATGAAAGTAACGCATACTTGTATGTGTCACGACTCAACCGGGGAAAGCCTATATCGCGGGCGAGTCTATTAACCTATCAAGCCTTTGCTCAATGAACGATGTTATTACGAATCACCGGCACCTAACGTCCAATTACATTTGCTCCATCACAATTTAGGGATAGTCTGTACGTACGAGTTAGTGGCAGGCTTCATGCGGTGGTCGTCTTTCGGAATTCTTTTTCATGGGGCAGCTGCGATGGCCGATGCTGCCGTCGCTTATCTATTTCTCGCTATCGTAAAAGCGGATTTGTGAAGCCCAGGCCGTTCAAATGGTGATGCAGAACAACATCGTAAGTAGTTCTGTCAGTAAATGTGTTCCTATTTGTGTAAGATAAAAGTCTGCAATTCTAGCATTTTCATTTAAATTCACAGGCGGACAGTCCTTGAAGTGTGAGCTGAGGTATGGAAATGAAACGGGAATTATTTGTAATGTTTGAAATTGTCTATTAATTATGATTGTCTGTACCTATTAACAATATTATTTCAGATACTGACCGTACCTCTTCGTTTCATAACTTCTAGGACCAGCGTTTAATCAGCTCCAGGCCATCTACGTGAATTTTCGCGTAGAAACTGTAAAACAAGCGAATAGCTACATATGCGCGCTATGTCGACCTGACCAACACTCCCTAACACATGGAATTGAAAGTTGTACAGGTAAAAAGGAAGAAGATTTTCTTCGAGCGTCAATGGAAGGCAACAGGATAGGATTATAGAGGATGGGGATTATAAGAGACGAGTACAACTTTTTGAAAAGAATGTTGGAGACTGTTAAATATGAGGAAGGTGATGCAACATGCATTAGGAATGGTAGCATAAGGAAAAGTACAATGAAGAGAATCATGAAAATTTCAAAAGCGTATGGAGGGGTGTGATTTCTGTCAAACGTGTAGGTCGACAGCTCGGATGAAAGATAGTTATAGTATTGAATAAAAAGCTTTGGGGGGTCAAGATTTGTGCAAATTGGGAAATTCAAGAAGACACCGTGGAAAAGAGGATTGACAAATATGCATATTTCTTGATTCTGTCTAGGATGCCCCAATTCAACGAAGTAACCCAATCTTACATTGAGACTGAAGATAAGTGAGACGGAGCTTTATTTTTTTCGGTGAGTAAAGGATAGATTATAGTGGCGAAAATTAAGACGGGCATTAGCCGCACACAGTATCTATGTTTAGTAACATACCTTTGCCGTCCGTATACCACATCTGCTCGATCATAGTCATTCCGCTTTTAAGTACAACATTACGCCAGCACGGGTCATTGTTTCAACCAGGTTTTATAACGGAAAGCGGTATTGGAATGGGACCCTGTTCATTGGCAGCATTGGCAAAGAAAGAACCAGCAATAGTATATCGTAATCCACAGTTTGATGCCTTTGTAGAACATTGAATAAGATCATTGTTGAACGAGCCGGTTTGGTAATGATGCGTTAGTATGCTATAATTACATCGGTTTTAACACGCACCTTGTATCTCATCATTAGATCAGAATACTGCAAACGATGATAAAATGTCCCGATGAAGGTGACGTAACGCCTATATATGTGGATCACAGTTCCGTGCATACTCCTCCAAGCGGCAAGACATTTAAACAGCAGATTAAGATGATGATTTGGATCTTTTGCCTGGATTTTCAATCCTCTCCGATGAACGCATAAGACCAGACCGTCTCAAGAATAACAACCTTCACGTGACGAAACCACGTTTACTTGGAACAAATAATAATTACGCTCATCAAAATTTTGCCGGCTGGATTTCCTGGTGGAGGTGGATGGCGGTGTGAGCTATCGTGATAGCAGACGGGAATGGATGGTCCAGGCATGTTATATTTTCTATAAGGTAAGATGTTACTGCTATAGGTACTTTTGTGATATGATTGTTTAACGCAAGCAATAATTAATCGTTATTTATTATTAATAATTATTGCCTCAGTTGGCCAAATATAGTCTAAAAGTGGTGTCAGCCGTAGACGTTAATGCATTTTCTTTACACCCACGATTATGTGTCTTGAACTCGAAGGACATGCTGTTAGCCATAATGGGATGTTTACATGCCTTGATTATCCGCCTGCAGAAGGAAGGGAAGGGAAGGTCTCTGTGAACGATGAATCACTCTTCAAGTATTACGGTCTTGGCTTAAACCCTCATGGGTCGATAAACAGATAGCGCGACTTTTGAATAGGGATGACACTTAACGCCGAGACTCGTCGGTATTAGTCAGAGTATTAATGAGGATATAACCCGATGTCTTTCCTCTATTACTGGATTTATATGGTAGATCAAAATAACGATCATGTTCTTTAATGCGAAATGGTGTGTAGTTATGGAACGTTTGGACGCATTGAATTCTGGCCATCTAACAACACTAATTTGTTTTGCACTAAAATATTCTATTTTAGTTTTACAGCTTTAAAATACACAAGTTCCCCGACGAGAATAACGAGTCGGTTGTGCTTAGTCTCCATACAACATATAATGCATCTTAGATCATATCCAAAATGGCTATCTGGAGAATTTGAACTATATCGAAGGGTTGCCCAACAAGGACATGCCGGTCGTTTGGTGATTATTACAACATTGTAAGAAAAAAATGATCAGTTGTCAGACATAACCATACGGAATTTCCATCGAGCTTGCGTTCGTAGCGCATTCGGCTTGGAAAAGATTGTGGATCGATCCATGAACAGGTAATGATAGACCAAGGAATAATCTACGATCCACGATGTGTGAACAAAACATTGGACTAGGAACCAAAACATGAATGTATGATAGTAAGGAACTCACAGTTAGCGATATAATTGGGATGTGGCGATAAAACTTGGGAGATCCCACAAAATCAACCTTTGTCAGTCATGGCTGGGGGAGCTTTCTGAGAAATGTTCGCGCGGTACTAGTATGGGCCTTTTAACTAACTAATCCATATTTTGGTACTGTTCGCTTTATTGTAGAACATTGAATGAGATCATTGTTGAATGAGTGGTTTGGCGACGGTGCGTTAGTATGCTATAATTTCTTGTACGAACACACAGATCAGGATGCATTCAATCAGATATATTACTGTTGGCCGCGTTATGATAAGTCATCTATCAATACCATGCGTCAGTAGATAAATAGATCAATTTCTTTTCCATTATTCTCTTTACATACTGTTCCATTTATTATTCATGTATCTTTCCACTTGACTGGCACTTCATCATTTATGAGATTAAACCGACTTTTTTCCTATTTTATTATGAAAAATTTTTTTGGGGGTAATATTTTTTGAATTTGGGCTATAGTCTAGGGGAAACATTGTTATGAATCACAATACGCGAGGGACGGATTGTTCGTACATCCCATGAGAAATTTATCTCACCCAAATAAATGATTTAATATTAACAAAGTTTGACTCCAGAACGGGAGAGTTGGTCTTCTCAAAATTAAAGACCTCTGGATAAAATACTTGACGGGTATAATAATAATCGTTGTTCATACAATTTAAGCGTCGGGCGCTCGCATCATGTCCAACGAAGACAACTGTGCCTTTTTCAGCGATCAATTTTACTTCTAAATTTTTAGGGGATGAGACTTTCTGAGACCCCAAAAGTCGTTTCAATCCTATGAAGTTAAGAGACGCTCGCACATCAGATTATTATAATCGAAGATATGAACGAGAGTGACAACTAGAGACTCACCGTCATCACTGAAATGGACTTCTCCTAAATCGGATAAGTCATCATCATCATGAGCACCGAACCTGTTTGTGAAGTTCGGATTGCTCGAAATCCATTGTATTTATCTATGTATTAGGAAAAGGAATTTATAAGCCGAGAGGCCTTACCAAATGCAGGAGAAACTTATGAGTGAAAAAAACTTACAACTTGCAACGCATCAAACTGAACCACCCCGGTAGGAGACTTACATTGTAGTTGCCAGAAAGCTACAATCTGTTGAAGGATGGAAGCTCCTGAGGGAAAAGACTTTTTCGCTACGGCGCGCCTCGGGAGCTTAACAACCTACAAGAAAAATTTATAACTCAAGGTAAGAATCGGCAGCTTGTCAAACTTAACCACCCCGATAGGAGACTTAAATTGGATTATTTATACCTTAATGACCTTCCAGCCGGGCAAATAATAATAAGGTCGGTAAAAGACTTTTTCGCTAAGGCGCCCCTCAGGTGTTGAATGACTTCTAAAATGGTTGACTACAGGTAACGGTAAGGATCGGCAGTTCGTCAAACGTTCCATGTATCTTGAAAATATTTTTCTTTCATAGCCTACATACTTTGCGCCCTTCTCCGAATTGAGGGTTTAATAGGAAGATTTGGACGACGGAGTGTTATGGATGATGGCATATCCACCAAGATTTCCCGCTAATTTACCAGGCAAATTTATCAATCAGAATTATGTACCTTTAGTAGCAATAATAACGCTGTGTTTTGGATAGCACGTTCAAACGGTCAAATGTAAATTGTGTCGTTATCGTCAGAAAGTAAGTAACTCTTGCTGGTGACAGTGATAATCTTGCTATGGAATATTAATATTAATGATAGCATTTTCGTGGGACGTTTGTATAATACAAATTTCAATTGACGGATGAGATCTAGAATTGTTTATTATATATTAATATTAATATACTCTATTAGACACCGTAAACGGGTTATTACAACATTTGAAGATCGCCACAGAATTATATGGAAAGCGGTAATACAATCCAGCAAACATTCTTATTTCGCGCTGAGATAAATCCACAGAGCCGCTGGTCAGAGAAGTATGTTCTTACTTTACCGTTACGGACAATGACGAAAACGTCTAATACGCATCATTCACGTAATGTTAAGTATTTAAAATAGACTCTTATGCTCGCATACTTGTAATGCAAACAGAAACAATGCAAATCGTATGGTATATGTATCCCGAATGTAGAGTCAAAGTCCGAGAAAGTCATCCAAACTCTGTTGAAAAGTGCGCTCATACAGAGCAATCGAGCATAGCTGGAGAGGAAATTATGTCTCGACAGTTTCGTGCATCAAGTACAAAACAGGGGGGGCTCGTTCGCGTCACTTTCCTTGATGTGTACAGATTTTTTTTCTTTATTTCCTTCTGAAGCTTTATTCAGCAGACTTGAAAAACATTGCGGATCAGTCCGTGAACGGATGATGATACGCCAAAGAATTTTCTTCGATCCGCGAACGGATGATATACAAAAAAAATTTGCCGTTTATACACAGAACGCTTCTAATCGTCACTTTGTCGAAAGCATACCTGGGAATTAATGTGCTCAGACCAGAATCAGGTATTAGTTTTTCTTCACACATGATAAGGCCACATAATTTCTCAAACAGCTTGTATGACACCAGAAGAGTAATTTCCCCTTTTTGCTAATTTGCACGCAAAGTTATGCACGCATAAATGTGAAATGGCTTTTTATCATTTATTTGAATCTACCATAATACAACATACAAATAATATATTAATTAATATACAGTTGTCAACTAATCTTTTCACTCAATTATCCGGTTCTCATCCTTGAGCGCAACCATCAATCCCATGACGTATCCGAAGATTCAAAATGTGAATTTTGCAAACGTTGGGGAAACAAGGAAAGGATTAAGAATACCTTCGTGAGGGGAAGAACCGCGTAATGCACAATGTCTTAGGGTCCGTTGCGCCAGAAAGGGCATTTGTCTCCTCCATTCTCATCTCTAATCCTTACATTTTCCTATCTAGCCCATCGATTCTCTTCTCAACCCCATCGATTCTCTTCTCAACCCCATCGATTCTCTCTTCCCCACCCCATCCATTTTGATTTCAGTGCATTGTCGCACTGACACCCACAGACAACCGCCCCACTTGATAAGATTTTGCTGTGACATCGCCGCCGTTGTATTTTTTCCAGAGACTGATGGCACCTGAAACGTATACCTCCGTGAGGAGGAGAACCCGTACGCTTTAGGTCCGGTTGAGAAAGATTGTCCAAATTTCGCCGGGTATATGCTTTAGGTCCGGTTGAGAGATTGCCCAAATTTCGCCAGGTGTGCGCTTTAAATCAGGTCGAGAAAGATCCCCCAAATTTCGCCGGGTATACGCTTTAGGTCCGGCTGGAAAATATCGCGCAAATATTTCGCCGGGCATACGCTTTAGGTCCGGTTGAAAAGGATCGCGTAAATTTCGCCGGGCATACGCTTTAGGTCCGGTTGAAAAGGACCGCGCAAATTTCACCGGGTATAGGCTTTAGGTCCGATTGAAAAAAAATCGCGTAAATTTCGCCGGGTATACGCTTTAGGTCCGGTCGAGAAAAGATTGCCCAAATTTCGCCGGCCGCGGTATACGCTTTAGGTCCGGTCGAAAACGATCGCATAAATTTCGCCAGGAGTACGCCTTGGGCCCGTTGAGAAGATTTTGTCCGGTATATGCCTTTAGAAAGACCGCAAATTTCGCCTTTCGAATGGGCTCATCTTTTGGCGAGATTTTTCTGTGACAGTTCAGTCAATCGCATATCTTCCCGATCCAACATAACATGAAGCAATTTGGCGTTCTTATCAGCCCGGATTCACTATTACTTCTTGAACCATCTGCGCCTTTCTATCACTTCTTCAACCACCTGGCCCCTTCTATCACTTCTTCAATTACCTGGCCTTCTTCTATCACTTCTTCAATCACGGGTTTTTCTTCAAAAATTTTAATCTTATGTCCATTCGGCTAATCAAAAGCAATCAGAGCGTTGGACGAGTGGCTGTTCGTATCCGAGCTTTGTTCTGGCATGGTAGAGGCGGACACCAGGTCTGTTAATGACATCAGATGTAAGAGGGAGGGTTAGTTAAATGATTTTTACCCATTATTATGTCGAATTGAGCTAAGTTTGCGATAGCTTGTTGGAAGGAACAATAAGCTCGAATAGGGTTGGGGGGTGGGCGTCAGAGAGAAAATAAACAGAAGCATAATACTGTATCATCTACTGTGCAATTTATACATACCAAGTCTCTGTCGCCCGTCTTCATACCAGCGTCTGTTTTCCTCGACAAAACAGCTATTAGAAACTATCACCCTCTAAAGAGTGCGCAGCAGCCCGCGGAACAGCGCGCGCCGAGAAACAGGTGTGCTGAAGAATATATATGGCTAAAGAGAACAATGTTCTGCAGATCGTTAGCAATCACATGTAATTTACCCAATAAAATGCTCTAAAATCACAATAGGGATCACAAGATTAAATGCTGTCGTCAGCAGCGTTTTCAGCCAGTTAGCAAGCCTTGCAATTTTGTGTCGCACACGGGTTTACTTATTCGGGGGTAGGCTAAAGCGGAGTAGTTTATGCCACACAGCAGGTGCCACAAATTGACTAAGTGCCACAATCAGTATTGG